ACATTAAGCTTTCCATCTTTCTCCTATGTTCATCTGTTTCTTAAATTCCACGTATGAGTGAAATCGTATGGTATTTGTCTTTCTCTGACTTATTTCAGTTAGCATAATACACTCTAGTTCCATCTGTGTCATTACAAATGGTAAGATTTCATTCTTTTTCATCACTAAGTAGTATTCCATTGTGTGTATGTGTATGTGTGTGTGTACGTGTGTACACATTACATCTTTTTTATTCCTTCATTGGTCGATGGACATTTGGGCTCTTTCCATAATTTAGCTATTGTTGATAGCGCTGCTGTAAACATTGGGGTGCATGTGCCCCTTCAAATCAGTATTTTTGTGTATTTTTGGTATCCCTTGGATAAAGACCTAATAGTGCAATTGTTGGGTTATAGGGTAGTTCTATTTTTAACTTGCCGAAGAAACTCTACACTGTTTTCCAGAGTAGCTGTGCCAGTTTGCATTCCCACCAACAGTGTAAGAGGGTTCCCCTTTCCCCACAGCTTCACCAACATCTGTTGTTTCCTGAGTTATTAATTTTAGCCATTCTGACTATCTCATTGTGGTGTTGATTTGTATTTTCCTGATGATGAGCAATGTTGAGCATTTTTTCATGTGTCTGTTAGCCCCATCTGTATGTCTTCTTTGAGGAAATGTCTGTTCATGTCTTCTGCCCATGTCTTTTTTTTTTTTTAACTTTTTTTTAATGTTTATTTATTTTTGAGAGAGGCAGAGACAGAATGTGAGTGGGTTAGGGGCAGAGAGAGAGGGAGACACAACCCGAAGCAGGCTCCAGGCTCCGAGCCATCAGCACAGAGCCCAATGCAGGGCTCGAACTCACAGAGCTGTGAGATCATGACCTGAGCTGAAGTCAGATGCTTAACCGACTGAGCCACCCAGGCACCCCTCTTCTGCCCATGTCTTAACTGGATTATTTTTTGGGGTGTTAAGTTTGACAAGTTCTCTATAGATTTTTGGATACTATCCCTTTATCCAACATTCATAGGGGAAGGGAAGGAAAAATAAGATAACAGAGAGGGAGGCAAACCATAAGAGACTCTTAACTACAGAGAACGAACGAGGGTTGCTGGAGGGGAGGTTGGCAGGAGATGGGCTAAATGGGTGATAGGCATTAAGGAG